TCATTTTCTAACTTATATTCACCCTTACCTGACGAAAGAGGTACAGTAGCTGGACTGTAACACTGTATTTGATCTTGAAGCAAAAGGGTTTTTATTTTTAATTTAGTTATTATATTAAAACTCTTTTCTTTTCAGGTTTACCAGATGGCTGGGAGAAAATTGAATCTCCAAACTTTGGGGTTTACTATGTCAAGTAAGTAACTGATAACATAATATCTGAATAACATACTTTTTTTTAGGTTATGGTAAACAGTTAATGACTACTCCAGCCTAAACAGGGATATGAACTGGCCTTTAGTCCAGCCGTAGGGAAGCATGGTGGCCTCATGTTAGTGCGGTCATCTCCAGATTTAGTAGGCGCAGTTTGAGCCCAAGACAGGGCCATTGCATTATGTTCTTGAGCGAGACACTTAACTCTAACAGTACCACTCTTCACCTAGGCCCCGGTTGTTTGAAGACGATAAGTGTTAACAAAACAAACCACGCTATCCGCTGGATAGTAATTTATCTGCTGGATAGTGTTATCCAGCTTTCAAACAACCAGGGCCAGGTGTCAGTTGAGGTGTATAAATGGTTACTGGTAAATTTAATACCAGGGGTAACCCTGCGATGGACTAGCATGCCAGGCAGTTGCTTCATGCTACAGAAACTGGGATAAGCTCCAGCCTTATGGGCCACTTGGCTTGTATGTATGCAGACTTTACCCTTAGTCAAGCCACTAGTCTCTGAAAAGGCTGAAATACTTACTTCCTAACTGTAGCTCTCTCAGATGATAACTTTGTTATTTTTCTAGTCACAACTTAAAGGTAACGCAATATGAACATCCAGCCAAAACACAGTTCATCCAGCAACACCATCAGCAGGAAATAAGAACATCTGATAATGGGCGTCAAGAGTCCCAGGCCATCCCTGCACAGAACCCTTTAGTACCAGCAAATCCATACATTAGTGAAGGTAACCTATATGAATAGCTTTCAAGCAGATTTTTTGTGTGTTGAGAAGAGAGAAATACATGTAGCAGGACTCACATTTCTTTCAACCTTTACTTTACTAGCTGATAAAATCATAAGGGCTCGTAGCTTATAGGTATTGAAGGTATTGATTTTTTAAACTTGGCCATCTCCTCCAAACTTGTAATGGCACACACCCTGTTTTTGTTTTCCTTTTGTATAGCGACCACAATAACACACAAAATTTATGCAGTTTTACAGTTCAGAGAGTAAGCTGCGTAAAAAAAAAGTGAGAATGGGAAAACTCTTCAACTAAAATGGTCTTGAGCTGTCTAGATTGATGATGTTAAACCAAATTCTCAAAACGCACACTACAGGAAATTTATATAATTAGTAATGAGAATTTTGCACTTCAAGCTAAAAAGAAGTGTTTAGTGACCTTATACTTGATGGGAACGTGAGTGCGGAACAAATGAGGGAACAGTTGAGCCCAAAGGCTCTGACTAAATTAGTCCCTTGTATTACATGTAACCCATTTTTTTTTCTCTTCAGAAATACCAGAATGGCTCCAAGTTTATGCCAAAGCTAGTCCAGAATATGACTGTTTCTTGAAGGTAACAATATTGCATTATATTTGTGAAGGAGTGAGTATATGCATGTTTACTTATTACTTTTTTGTTACCTTAGGGTTAATTCATTACATTAATTATTGCAATCTGCACGTCAGTCTGCACGCTATATGTGCCTTCTATTAAAACGCTCACTAGTTCTTCTCGTATCATTTCCAGTGGGACTTATTCCGTTACGCCGAGCTCGACTGTTGGCAGGCAATGCTGAAGCGTTTGTACAAGAAAGAAGTGGAGCAGGTTGTGATGCGACATGAGGAGTACAGGCAAGCGCTGCAGAGGGAATTTGAGCAGAAGCAAAAACTTCAAGAGGAGGAGCGAAGATTGAGCGACCAAGCTCTGGCAGATCTAGATGAGTTAGATAAAGAACTTGCCAAATACTAAGTCATCTACGGAGGAGTAAAATGCAGACGAAAGCGGTGAAACCACCGCCCCGGAAGAGCTAGATGTTTTATTTAATTTTCTGTATTCTGAACTTTCTAATTGGTTAGAATAGTCTAGCCGATCAGAGCAAACATACTGGTTCCCGCGCTTGGCATCGGTCACATGTTTTCCCGCGCTTAGCGCTGGTTGCACGTTTTTGCTTCAAGTTCTAGTGATGGTAACTGGTTTTGGTTATTCAAACCCAAGCAAAACACACACTCAAAAATACAAAATTGCATTTCAAAATTAAAGTAACGGAAAGTATTTCTCTACACGCATTATTACAGACGTCGGAACAATTCATGCCATCATTTCGCGGTCAGTTGTGCAGCAATTCCAAGATGAATACTGTGTGTTCACTCCTAGTGAGTGAATATGAAATGAAGGACAAAATCCATTACCATCAAATGCTAAGTGCTTCGTTTCAGGAAATTTTTGACGCTTCCATGCAAACCATTAGAAATGCATACCCGCCACTTTTTTCCCCAGAAAATTGCAAGAATAGACTCTATCATATAGCTTTTCGGTAATATAATGACCGCTACCTGGGTAACATATATGGGCTCCCAAGCCCGATATTGATATTTAAAAGTAAATTACATATAGAATATTCACTTGACTTAGATAGTCGCTAGACGTAAATCACAAACTTTAAATGTAGTTAAAATAAACCTTA